TAGTGGCAGCAAGGGGGCCCTCCTGGTGTTCGGGGACGGTAGTGGCAGCAAGGGGGCCCTCCTGGTGTTAGGGGACGCTAGTGGCAGCAAGGGGGTCCTCCTGGTGTTCGGGGACGGTAGCGGTGACCAGATATTGGAGGTACCAGCGTCTATGGCAGCAAGAACACAGGTCCTCCTGGTGATCATAGGCTGACCGAGACTCCCGGCCGTGACAAGGTCCGTGAGCCTGCATTGGTTTGTCCCAAACACCTTTAGGGAGATAAGGCTTAGATTTTAATATCTGGACTTTTTTTTTAAATCTTTTTGTTTTCCTTTATTGCAGCTTTTTTTTTGTATTCTGGTTTTGTGACCAAGATGGCACTGGAGGATGGCGACTTCGTGCGCTTTTCACTGTACTCATGTGTTCCTATACTTGAGTAAATGTGACAGTAAAATCTACTTCTAATTCATTGATGCCCTCTCAGCTAATCTTGTTCCCCCTCTTCTCTGCTTAGCAGCTGTGGCCTGGTGCTGCAGGCTGACCTGCCTGACAGCTGTGGAGCCTCTCAAGCTGCTGGCTGCGAGCAAGAAGTGGAATCCAGAACAATTTCCTGCTGCTCTCTCGACAGCTCCAGAGGAAAACATGAGCTTCTGGCTTTCCTGATTCAGCAGAAAGTGTGAACAGGGATGAGGTAAAGACCTCAAACTAGTAAGAGAGAGAGAGATCTACGAGGAATGGGACAAGCCTAAAGATAAATGAAACAGGAAGGCAGAACACAGGACAGACTATATTAAGGAACTACATAATTAGCTAGAGCACTTTTAAAAGATTAAACATATAATTAATAATAAAGTGGCTTATTAAATAAAATTGAACTGCCTGCACAGCAATTTCACACATTATCTATAACGCAACAGGGGAACCGGAGCCACTTATAAGAAGTTTGGAACCAGATTTAGTTGGATTACTGAGGCATGACTTCAAAAAAATCAGGACTAGGAATTAAACATTGCAGGGCATAATATATTCAGCTAAGATTGCCTAGGGAATAAAGGAGGTGGTGTAGTTAACCTTATAATGATCACGCAGAAAGTGACAACCGTGAGTAATACAGAAAAAGAATCTATGTGGATACAGACAAGAGATGATGGATTGATCACACCTATAACGGGAACCTACAAAACACTCATCAGAAGAATGTAGGTGGAGGAAGAAACATTTGAATATATTAAGGAACATGTCGACTTTTGGGACCATACTATAAAGAATAAGAGCATGGCAGAGACCAGGGTAATGGATCATAGAAAAGTTGATTTGGGTTGCTGACTGGGAATAGGATTTTGGGAAAATAAAATGCACAATAATATTTGCTAACAATAACATAGAATGCTAAAGGGAAATGTTTAACGTGATGTTCAGTGGAGTTCAGGAAAATCGTATTTTGCTGAGAAGCAGTAGTAAACTAAAACCTAATGAGAAACCATGGATGAATGAAGACATAACAGAAAAATTGAAGATAAGGAAAGCATACACCGAATACATGGACAGCAGGGAACAGCATTATAAGAGAGAATAAGGAGCAATTAGGAAATCCGTCAAAGAAGAATTAGGAATGCAAAGAGGAAATATGAAATGAAGTTGTTGAGAAACATAAAGCAAATTGTAAAATCCTGTACAGGCAGATAAATAAAAGTAGGACAGTTAAGATTGAAAAAAATAAATAGACTAATCAAACTAAAAGAGGAATAAAGTCTTTAGTGACCTAATAGAGGCCTTTAAAATTATGAAAGGAGGGTTTTGATAGAATGCATACGGAAAGAATGTTTTCTCTTTGTTAAAGAGTATAACTGGAGGCCAACAATATAGGATAGTCACCAAGAAATCCAGTAGAATGTTCAGAAGAAACTTGTTTATCCAAAGAGTGGGGAGAAGGTAGAACTTGCAATCACTGAAAGTCATTGAAGTGAATTGTACAGATGCATTTAATGGGAAGCTGAACAAGCATATGAGGGAGAAGGAAATAGAGGGTTATAATGATAGATTTAGATAAGGAAAGATGGGAAGAAGCTTGTGTGGACCATTATCGCCAGTCTGGACCGATTAGGTTGAATAGCTTGTTTCTACATGGGGAAAAACATTACTAGGAGTTATCTCTCGAAGGAAGTAGTTAAAAGAATAGAAAAGTGTTCTGCATAACTTCTTGCCAGCATATTAATTTTGGAAACCCCTGGATGACCCTGGGGGAGTTCAGCCAGGATCTGGTGGTGACCTTTGCCCGGGACAATCACCCTCGCTCCCCATAATAATATGCCTCGACTGTGATCCGGTCTCTCTGGGTCCTAAAATCTGATTGTGATTGCCCTTTGTTTTCTCCCATCACCACCAGCTGCTTCAGTTTTGCCAGATCTCTCTGCATCCAAAGTCTGATATTGTCAGCTGTGACTGGAAGTGTGTCCAGAAAATCTAAAACCATTATGGTCTCTTCCAGTGTCAGTCCCACCAGTAGTATATCTGCCAGTGGGAGATGGCTCAATGCATCTGCGTTTGCTGATTGGCCTCCCAGACAGTGTTCTGACTTATAACTATACGTACTTAGTATTAGAGCTCACTGCTCAATTTGGTCTGAAGTTATTGGCGGCACTGCCTTATCCTCTTTAAGTAGACCTGGTAGGGGTTTGTAGTCCATTATTATTACAAAGTTACATCCATAAAGGTATTGATGGAACAATCTGACTCCAAATATGTTCTGCCAAACCTTCCTTCTCTAGCTGGACATATTTATGCTCTGCATTAGCCAAAGCCTTGGGTGCATACGCTATTAGGCATTCCTCTTCATTGGCCATCATGAGCTAATACAACCCCAATGCCATGCAGGGAGGTATCACATGTCGATACCAGATCTCATTTGGGATCATAGTGTGCCAACACCTTAGAGGATGATATCTGTTCCTTCACTTCCCTTAAAGCTGTGGCTTGGCTACAAGACCATTTCCAAAGCAGACCCTTTGTTAACAGTTGATGCAAAGGTTCCAGGATGGAGGCCAGGTTATGTAGGAACTTTCCACAATAATTCATCAGCCAAGGAAAGACCTAAGCTCCAGTACGAACATGGGAGCCAGGGCACCTTTGATCACTCTCACTTTATCTTCCAACGGGTATAACCTGGTCTTGTCGACTCTGTAGACTAAGTAGATCACTTGGGGTGCCTATTACACACTTTTTTACCTTCTTAGGCATAAGGCAGCCTGGGAGAACTGTCTAAGGACTATGTCCAAGTTCTTTAAGTACTCCTTATTGGTCTTCCCTGTTATTAGTACATCATCTAGATAAATGGCAACCTAGGATAACCTTGCAAAATGTTCTCCATCGTCCACTGAAAAATTGCACAGCCTGACATTGCTCTAAATGACAGTCTCGTATATTGGTACAAATGCTTATGTGAATTAATTGTACCATACTTCTGGGAATCCTCATCTAACCACAATTGCAAGTAAGCATGGCTCATGTCTAGCTTCGTGAACAACAGCTCCCCTGCCAGCTTTGCGTATAGATCCTCTACACGAGGGATTGGGTATTTATCCAGCTGCCAAAAGTGGTTTACTGTTTGTTTA